AACTGAGAGCTTTTTCCCTGAGATCAGGAACACGACAGGGATGCCCACTCTCACCGCTGTTGTTTAACATAGTGCTGGAAGTTCTAGCATCAGCAATCAGACAACAAAAGGAAATCAAAGGCATCAAAATTGGCAAAGATGAAGTCAAGCTTTCGCTTTTTGCAGATGACATGATATTATACATGGAAAATCCGACAGACTCCACCAAAAGTCTGCTAGAACTGATCCATGAATTCAGCAAAGTTGCAGGATACAAAATCAATGTACAGAAATCAGTTGCATTCTTATACACTAACAATGAAGTAACAGAAAGACAAATAAGGAAACTGATCCCATTCACAATTGCACCAAGAAGCATAAAATACCTAGGAATAAATCTAACCAAAGATGTAAAGGATCTGTATGCTGAAAACTATAGAAAGCTTATGAAGGTAATTGAAGAAGATTTAAAGAAATGGAAAGACATTCCCTGCTCATGGATTGGAAGAATAAATATTGTCAAAATGTCAATACTACCCAAAGCTATCTACACATTCAATGCAATCCCAATCAAAATTGCACCAGCATTCTTCTCGAAACTAGAACAAGCAATCCTAAAATTCATATGGAACCACAAAAGGCCCCGAATAGCCAAAGTAATTTTGAAGAAGAAGACCAAAGCAGGAGGCATCACAATCCCAGACTTTAGCCTCTACTACAAAGCTGTCATCATCAAGACAGCATGGTATTGGCACAAAAACAGACACATAGACCAATGGAATAGAATAGAAACCCCAGAACTAGACCCACAAACGTATGGCCAACTCATCTTTGACAAAGCAGGAAAGAACATCCAATGGAAAAAAGACAGTCTCTTTAACAAATGGTGCTGGGAGAACTGGACAGCAACATGCAGAAGGTTGAAACTAGACCACTTTCTCACACCATTCACAAAAATAAACTCAAAATGGATCAAGGACCTGAATGTGAGACAGGAAACCATCAAAACCTTAGAGGAGAAAGCAGGAAAAGACCTCTCTGACCTCAGCCGTAGCAATCTCTTACTCGACACGTCCCCAAAGGCAAGGGAATTAAAAGCAAAAGTGAATTACTGGGACCTTATGAAGATAAAAAGCTTCTGCACAGCAAAGGAAACCACCAACAAAACTAAAAGGCAACCAACGGAATGGGAAAAGATATTTGCAAATGACATATCGGACAAAGGGCTAGTATCCAAAATCTATAAAGAGCTCACCAAACTCCACACCCGAAAAGCAAATAACCCAGTGAAGAAATGGGCAGAAAACATGAATAGACACTTCTCTAAAGAAGACATCCGGATGGCCAACAGGCACATGAAAAGATGTTCAGCGTCGCTCCTTATCAGGGAAATACAAATCAAAACCACACTCAGATATCACCTCACGCCAGTCAGAGTGGCCAAAATGAACAAATCAGGAGACTCTAGATGCTGGAGAGGATGTGGAGAAACGGGAACCCTCTTGCACTGTTGGTGGGAATGCAAATTGGTGCAGCCACTCTGGAAAGCAGTGTGGAGGTTCCTCAGAAAATTAAAAATAGACCTACCCTATGACCCAGCAATAGCACTGCTAGGAGTTTATCCAAGGGACACAGGAGTACTGATGCATAGGGGCACTTGTACCCCAATGTTCATAGCAGCACTCTCAACAATAGCCAAATTATGGAAAGAGCCTAAATGTCCATCAACTGATGAATGGATAAAGAAATTGTGGTTTATATACACTATGGAATACTACGTGGCAATGAGAAAAAATGAAATATGGCCTTTTGTAGCAACGTGGATGGAACTGGAGAGTGTGATGCTAAGTGAAATAAGCCATACAGAGAAAGACAGATACCATATGGTTTCACTCTTATGTGGATCCTGAGAAACTTAACAGGAACCCATGGGGGAGGGGAAGGAAAAAAAAAAAAAAAGAGGTTAGAGTGGGAGAGAGCCAAAGCATAAGAGACTGTTGAGAACTGAGAGCAAACTGAGGGTTGATGGGGGGTGGGAGGGAGGAGAGGGTGGGTGATGGGTATTGAGGAGGGCACCTTTTGGGATGAGCACTGGGTGTTGTATGGAAACCAATTTGACAATAAATTTCATATATAAATTAAAAAAAAAAAAAAAGAATTATTCACCATGATCAAGTATTCGTTCCTGGACTGCAGGGGTGGTTCAATATTCGCAAATCAGTCAATGTGATACATCACATTAATAAAAGAAAAGATAGGAACCTTATGATCCTGTCAATCAATGCAGAAAAAAGCATTTGACAAAATTCAGCATCATTTCTTAATAAAACCCCTCGAGGAAGTCAGGATAGAAGGAACATACTTAAACATCACAAAAGCTATATATGAAAGGCCCACAGCTAATGTCATCCTCAATGGGGAAAAACTGAGAGCTTTCCCCCTGAGATTAGGAACACGACAGGCATGTCCACTCTCACCATTGTTGTTTAACATAGTGTTGGAAGTCCTAGCCTCAGCAATCAGACAACAAAATGAAATAAAAGGCATCAAAATTGGTAAAGAAGAAGTCACACTTTCACTTTTTGCAGATGACCTGATACTATCTACATGGAAAACCCGAAAGACTCCACCAAAAGACTGCTAGAACTGATACATGAATTCAGCAAAGTCTCAGGATACAAAAATCTATGTACAGAAGTTGGTTGCATTTTTATACACCAATAATGAAGCAACAGAAAAAAAAAAAATAAAGAAACTGATCCGATTTAAAATTGCACCAAGAACCATAAAATACCTAGGAATAAACCTAACCAAGCACGTAAAATATCTGTATGCTGAAAATTATGGAAACCTTATGAAGGAAATTGAAGAAGACACAAAGAAATGGAAGAACATTCCATGCTCATGGATTGGAAGAATAAATGTTGTTAAAATGTCAATACTACCCAAAGCAATCTACACATTCAATGCAATCCCAATCAAAGTTGCACCGGCATTCTTCTCAAAGCTAGAACAAACAATCCTAAAATTTGTATGGAACCACAAAAGACCCTGAATACCCATAGTTAATACTGAAGAAGAAAACCAAAGCGGGAGGCATCACAGTCCCAAATAAAAATTATTTTTATAATTATAAGGACAAGTTATTTTTTAAGTAAAAAGAAAAGGACTATTTTGCAAAATCCAGATATTTCATCTGGTAAATGAAATGCTAATTTGCATTTGTGAAGGACTTCCTAAATAGAGACTCCAAACAATGTATTATAAATGGGTTTCATATGGACCAACATTTTTCTGTACAACCTCAGGGATTTAATGAGGCTAGACAGAGGTGAGCCTCCTCCTGGCACCCTGCAGTCTAGAGTTCTTTCATGGTTCATGCCAGTGTACCGTGAAGACATTTGGGAAACAATGTGCTTCATGATTCTGGAAATAATAGCTTTTATAGATGTTTAATTTGAGTCAATTTTTTAACATTTCATTTGTGCCTTATTCATAACAAGAATAATAAGATTAATAATCCTAATAAAGCCTATCACTTATTTTTAACCTTCTGCCAGGCACTTTCCTAAGTACTTTACATCTATTATCTCACTTAATCCTCATAACACTCATGTGGAGTCTAGGTATTATTATCCTGGTTTTATAGGTGAGAAAATGGATGCTAAAAATATGCTACACATATTTTTAGGAAACTATAATTATATAAAGCAAAGTCCAACTATATCAGATAATGGATAATTACAACAGGGGCTCTCTTCAGCATTTCTCTCCCACATGAGACAGAGAGCTTGACTGTTTTGTTCACCTAACTATGCCTGAAAGATCATAGGAGCTTAGATATTTGTTAGATGAACACTCACATGGTGGTTCTTTGACCAGTGGTTCTCCACTTTGGGTGCACATCACAATTGCTCCATAGAGCTTTTGAAACATGCAAATGTCTAGAACTCACCCAACTAGCATCTCCAAGGGAGGAACTCAGGCAGGTATTTATTTTTAAAGATGTGCAGGTGATTCCAGTGCTCAAACTAATGAGCCCCTATTCTAGAGCAGCGGGGACTTGCAAGTACATCTGAATCACTGGCAGAATTGGTTAAAGCACGGATTGCAGGAATCTATCCCCAGAGTTTCTATTTAGTAGGTCTGGGGTGGGGGCCTGAGAATTTGCATTTCTAAGAAGTTCCCAGGTGATATTGATGCTTCTGGTCCTGTAGGATTATTGTCCTACAGGGTTGGTTGTAAGGGACGAAATCAAAACATTTATATGTAGAATTTAAGCAGGAGATTTAGTCAGGCCAGAATCCACATTGATCATCAGGCAATGCAGGTTTTAAACACAATCTTCAGAGCACCCGAAGAGTACCCACTGAGTTTGTGGCTCCAGACATTTCTTTGAACAGTGGCATATGAATTTGTTTTATTCCCTAAGAGGAATACATTTCCTCTTAATGTTAACTGATCCTAAGATCAGTTTGACCTGAGACTACTGTGCGGAGCCCATGCCCACTCAGGCGCCAAGCAGGCGTGGTGCTCACTCCCCAGAACCCTGCCACTCTTGTCTCAGAGGGAAAGCCTGTGGTTTCTCCTCATGTGTTCTCCCTTCTTCATTCATCTGCCTTTATCTAGGACCAGGAGGTTTGGGAACAGGAGCTTTGACCCTTCTATTTCTGGACTTTATTCAAAAATGTCTATGTCCCAAAGTTCCTGGGTGATAGATACCTAATTTTAGATTATTAGGATATTATCAGATAGACTAGTAAACACATTTCCATTATCTGCTATACAACTAAGAAATTAGTAAGAGGTAAGTATTAGATACTGACAAACACTAGGCTTTGGATAAATTATAAGCTTTTGTATCTAGCTGATGAGCCTTGTACCTGATATTTTGCTTTTTTTTTTTTTTCAGGGTGATTTCCATCCTGTGCCTGTTGCCTTTGTACGATTCATTTTATGTATTTTAAATTGTTTAGAGAAGAGCTGCTCAAGTTTTATAAATGGTGTTTCTCTCCTATTAGGTCTCTCTGCAATGCAATCAATGTTTACAACCTCACCTGCAGTGACTGCTCAGAAAATTGCACCGATGTTCTGTTTAGTAACAAGATTACCTTCTTAATGGACCTCCTGATACACCAGTTGACGGTATGTAATATTAGCGTTCTGAGTTAGAAGCAGGTAAGGTTTGGGAAATAGTCCCTGTGGAGAAAATGAAAAGAATTCAGCTTATTTACCCTCCAGATGAAAAAGTGAAGATGACGGAGAGAGTAAACTGGAGACTAGCAAAGAAACCTCTTAATTTGAAAATCTCATATTGGATTCTCGTCTAAGTTCCAATATTTAATGGATAATATACTTATAACACTTGCCAACTTCACAAATTTACATGGTTAAACTGAGGCTTTAGAATCAGTTGGACTCAAAGCCAAACCTCTGAGCCCACAGGAATGAGGGCTATAGAAAGGAAGAAAGCTTGGAAAAGCCTTGAAACCTCTCTTGCCAACTCAGTTAAAAGGGTCAGTTTAAAAAGGACTTTTTGATGGCCCTTGATATATACTTTTTTGAATCAAGAAACTCCTCTGTCAAAAAAGAGTAAACCTGTTACTCTTTTGACGTGAGAACAAGCAGCCAATTGTTGTTCACAGATGTTGAAAGAGGTAGTAAGCTCAGTATAATATCCAAAGGTTTAGGTCTGTCAACTGCAGCCTCCAGAATACAGCCCTGGGGCCAGAAGTTTCCTGGTGAAGTTTCTGAGCCCCTGAGGTATTGGCACAAAATCTCTCTCGAGCTGCAAGTTTACAACACAGGAGATTTATTTTTTAGAACAGATTTGCTTTTACTCAGCACATAGTTCTAATTCTTCTTCCTAAACTACATGCCTTTTGCACTATCCCCTCCTCAGTCTGGTTAATTTCTGTACATTCTTCAGACCTTAACTGAAACATAATGGCACCTTCCTCATGAAATCTTCCCCAACCTGACTCTCCCCAAGTACAGGTTAGGAATTTTTTTATGTGCTCCTAGGCAGTACATCTTTCATAGAACTGATCACATTGAATTGCAATTAACAATTTTTCCATTTCCCCATTATCCATAGAATCAACAAGGATAGGAGGCAACTTATCACCCTCTCCAGGATCCTAACACAGTGCCTGACACTTAGTAGATTTAGTACATCATTGGTGAATATATGAGCGAACAAGTGAATCCCCACATCTCAAGCTAAGAATCAGAAAGGGAATGATGAGGTCCTTACAGGCAGGCATACTGACAATGAGAAGGGACAACAGTAAGAGAGAACAAAGGCACAGACCTAGAACTGTCTACACAGTACAACAATGGCTATTTATAGTGATGACTAAGGGTCATCATCACTTGAAGGGTAAATTATATTTGGTATTATCTATAAAAGAAGGCATTAAAATATAGGTAAGGCATTTTAGCCCAAAATCCTACTCAAAATAGTTGAAAGGCAGGGACAAGGAGAAAAGACAGCATTTGTTATATGGCCTCATATTCTAGACATTTTAATATATATCGCCACATTTAATTTATCTAAACTTAAAGTTAGTATTATTATCCCATTTTACCAGTATGGAAACTTGAGTCCCAGAGAGTTTGGCTTGCCCAAGACAGCATAGAAAGTCATGGAGCCAAGAGTCAAATGTAGGTCTCTCAAACCCAAATTGAGGGACATTCCACACAGTGACTAACTGCTACTTTTCAAAAGTGTCAATGTCATGAATGACAAGGGAAGAGAGGAGAACTATCACAGATTGGAGGAGGCTAAGAAGATCTGACAAGTAACTGAAATGTGTGATCCTAGACCAGAAAAAGGACATTAGTGGTAAAACTGGGAAATTCAAATAAAGTCTATAGAATGGTTAATTTTATTGACTCAATGTTAATTTCCTGCTTTCAATAATTATAGTATGATTTTGTAAGATGTTAGCAATCAGGGATACAGGGTGAAGAGAACTCACTATTTTTGAAACATATCTGTTAGTTTAAAATTAATTTAAAATAAATTAAAAAAAAATTTATAAAAGGGGGCACCTGGGTGGCTCAGTCAGTTGAATATCTGACTTGATCTCAGCTCGGGTCTTGATCTCAGGGTCATGAGTTTGGGCCTCTCATTGGGGTCCACGCTGGGTGTGGAGCCTACTTAAAACAAAACAAAACAAAATAAAACAAAAAAACATGCTTCCCCGCTGTTCCATGTTATATCATCTGGAAGAATGTATTCTGTGGAACTTTTTCTATGTTGGTAATGGAAGAAAAGACATTAATATGTACTTTGACCAGAACAAATAACAACAGAGATGGCCTTTGAAATGTGAAGGGATGAATAAGATTTACAGACAGGATCTTCCATCTTAGCTCTTCAGTCCTTTCTGTTCAGTCCTTTCTATTCTTACTGAAAAATATCATATGCAGTAGTTTATTATTCTCACACTAAATAAAGTGCCTACTATTTCCACTTACAGAGAAGCACAGAATATAATCTGCACCATCCAGGAAATCCCAGTTTAGGAGTAAGAACAGATAGATAGATTGCATATAGTAAACAGTGTGATGGCAGCATATACAGACTACAGTGGAGCACAGGAAGGTGTTTTATAGCCTGGGACATCACAAAGCAGGGACATTTGAGCTAGACCTTAGCTCCTCATTTACTAAGTGCCTACCATGTGCCAGGAGCTTGTAAGTAGCTTGATCCTCTCCTTCTTCCTTGAATAATATACCCTTGCTTATGACTTCATGGTTTCTTGACACTCAGAAAAGCTTTTAATCTCCTGACCGGTGGATCTCACCACGTTCTGTGTTTAGTTTTCTCAGTTCAGGACTGTAGTCCTGGGACATTTATTTGCCAAATACATTTTATTCCTCCTTTCCTTATACGTGGCACTTCTTGGTTTTTACAGATCTTTTAGGCTGCTTTCAATTCTAATACAGCTGTGACTGAGTTTGTGACAGTTGGCAGAGGAGATTGTGTTTCCTAATTTGGGGAGAAAAGGGATGGAGATGGTTAGGGATGGTGATTTTACATTTCTTGAAATCACTTGAATACGTTTCCATTTTTCTTGATAACTGGTTTTGATAACCATGTAACTGAAATATGGACCACTAACTTGCAGTACCTATTAAGTAATGGAGAGAAAATAGTCATCAACACATTTTACAGAAGGATGAGAAAGAAGCTAATTAAGTCTGGTGAGATATATAAGACACCTAATAATGAGGCACTTCAACCTTCTTGAGCAAACTGAGATAGTTTAGAAGAAAAAAAAATTTTTTTTGGTCTAGCTGCTTGAAATTTGTTTTAGTACTCTTATATTTTATTTGAACTATGTGCAAAGCACTGTACAGATGCCAGGGTTACAGAGAACATTGGACACAGTTCTTTCACTCCAGAAGCCTACAGTTAAGGAAGAACTTGCACACACAAATACTAAAGAAAAGCTGTGAGAAGTTTGTGATGTAATGAGAGCTACAGAGTATCCTAAGCAATCTAGAAGAGTACCTGACATATAAGTGGTGCTCCTCAAGTATCTGATGAGTGAATGAGTGAATTCTAACTTGGAACATTAAAGAGGTTTAGGGAAGAAATTGGACTTCACTGTGCCTTGAGGAAGGGTGGAAATTCCTTTCTAGGTTAGGATTTTTACAGAAGATAAATTAGCACAAGTGGCACAGTAAAGTATACCTTGCAACAGAGATTCTAAGTAGGATTTTGGGGATAAGCTCTTCAGAAGTTTATTTGGAGCCCTGTGAAAACAATACATTTAGATAGACATGATTTAGGTTGAAAGCTAGCATAAATGTATTATATTCCAAGAAGCATGAAAGTTTTAAAATATGTTAAAGCAGATTACTGTCATTCCAGAAGCATGGTTCAACATCTCTGTGCCTAAATTTTCCCAGTGCACAGAACAGTGGGTCTCTAGCTTCAAAATGTCTCCTTGAAGAGACCAAATATGCACACTGGAAGGCAATGAAAAGACCAGTGAAAAGAGAAAGATGGCAGAACAGGAAGTCCTAGCCCTCCTTCCCCCACAGAGACACCAACATAATAGTATATGGACCAAAATACCATTGTGAGAATTCCAGAAGACAGTTAAGTTGTTGAAATACCCCCAGGCAGTCTCAAAGCCAAGAACAACCACATTGAAATGAATAAGAAGAATGGTTTTACTTTACTTGTGTTTACCCCCTCCCTAAGCCAGCAAAGCTCAGCACTGGCAGACAATACCCCAGTTTATGAGTTCTCTTCTAGGAGGGAGAGGGGAGTAGAGTGTAAGTCTGGCATTTTGGCTTTTTGGAGAGTTTCCCAAGGGTCTTGAACCTGTTTCACCTGACTCAGGGCACTGACAAGGAGCTGGCATATTTTGGATGCCTGGAAGCGCCTGAGAACATGAGAGAGCAGGGCAGCTTGCTGTTGTAGAACCAGAGAACTTAATGTTGCAGACAGACACCAGAGGGAGCAAGAGATTATGATGTCCTGAAAAGAAACCAGCAAAACTCTCTACTTGAGAAATTATACACGCAGACCCAGAGAAGTCACATCACCCATCAAAAGGTTTCAGAAACCCCTAGATTCTCTAACCAAGGTGACTGGTGGCTTCCTCTCTACAAAGCCAAGATGTAAAGTCTAAAAGAGATGCCTTTTTTTTCCAAATGTACGGATTCCAACACAAAGGTATAAGATACACAAAGAAACAGTGAAATATGGCCTATACAAAAGAACAAGATAAATCTACAGAAACCAGTCTTAAAGAAACAGGTATATGAATTAACTGACAAAGAATTCAAAATAATTATCATAAAGATGTTCAATGAGCTCAAGAAAATGATGCATAAACAAAATGAAAATAACAAAGAGATAGAAAATATTTTTTTAAAAAGCAAGTTTTAGAGCTGAAGAAAACAATAATTGAACTGAAAAATCAGGTAGAGGAGCTCACAAGCAGACTTGATAAAATAGAAGAAAGAATGAGTGAACTTAAAGACAAGTCATCTGAAATTATGCAGTCACAGGGATAAAAAGGAAAAATAATGAAAATAGTGAAGAATGCCTAGGGGACATATGCAGTACCATCAGACAGACCAATATACACATTATGGTACTCCCAAAAGGAGGAGAG